ATAACTAATAGTAAACAAGGCAAGCATATTTGAGACAGTTGATTAGTCACATGCATGTATTTAAAGCTCATTACACACCGAAATATTAATTAATTAATTAATTAATTAATTAATTAATTAATTCATTCATTCATTCATTCATTCATTCATTCATTCATTCATTTATTTATTTATTTATTTATTTATTTATTTATTTATTTATTCATTCATTCATTCATTCATTCATTCATTCATTCATTCATTCATTCATTCATTCATTCATTCATTCATTCATTCACTCACCTTTCTTTGACTTAGTCTTTATTTTAAAGTTCACCTCAATGGAATAAACCACCAACTATTCCAGCATATGTTTTATGCAGCGGATGTCTCTCCAGCCACAACCCAGTACTGGGACACACACACACACATACACTACGGCCAATTTAGTTTATTCAATTTACCTATAGCGTACTGTATGTCTTTGGAAAGTTTTTAAAGATGTTTGGACAATTCACAGCCACTGTACAAGAAGGCAAAATCCAGAATGCTGTCACTCACATCAGAGAGCACTTTATTTTAGACAAACATAGCACTGAATATAAAAAAAGAATGTGGCAAATGAATGAACCAGTGCTGTAGACTAATGTAATCTGGTTTTAATGCCTGGCATGCAATATGCATGCAGCTGTTTGGCAAGTGTGTGTCCATACCTTTGAGGCACTGCCAGTTCAGGACTAATTTATGTGTGGGAATAATTGTTGTATGCATGCAGTACTACAAGATGAGTGTCAAAATGCCACTGAGTTCCTGAAATTTGAATTTTAGATTAATCCTACTCAGCTCTTAAAAAAAAAAAAGACGTGAATGTCCATTGGAATTTAAATAGACAGAGTATTTCCTGTTTCTTTTTGGAAGCATTACTGCTTATGTTGATTGAATGGTAACACTTTATTTCGATGGTCCATTTGAGTATTAGTAGACTGTCTGATACAGACATTCAACAGGCATAGAAACTTACTAACCCTAACCATAACCCCGACCTAACAGTCTACTTTAGTCTATTGAGAATTAGTTGGCATGTAGATGCAATGTTACTTAAACTCAACAAAAGGACCATTAAAAATAGAAATAAAGTGTGACCGATTGAATTGTTCTGACTATTCACAAGTTGCATCGAACTCAAGATTTCTGTTTTAGGATACACACCAAAAAGAAGATTTTGGACTTCAATCTGCAAAGACAATACTGTTCCTACGGCAAAACTTACCAGGTGAAAAAGTTTTAATTTCCCATTATTTACATTAACATTTTTTTCACATAAGTCCAAAACCAAATTTGTTAATTTAGTATTTTTTCATTTTAAAATGTCGTTTTCACTAATCATTTCTCATGCAAAACTAATTTCTCATGCAATACTTAAACAGCTAATGTACAAGAGAATTTTGAATGAAAGTCATGCAGTGACCAATCCTCTCAGCAGCAAAAACATCAAAACACCAAACTAACCTTTTACCAAGGAGCATGTTGTGTGGTCAGGCCAAGATTCATTTATTTTGCTCCAATGATAAAAAATGCAGTCAAGCAAAAACTGAACCCAAATGATGTAAAGAAGTCAGTGAAAGGTGGAGGAGAACGTTACATGGTTAATATTTAACCTTTTTATCTTTCTATTTCTTTATTTTTGTAAGTGCCATGTTGACAGTATTATTTCACAGTGAAGCGCAGCCACTGGAAAAATATTGACTCAAGACATCTGGACGCATTAACTTTTCATTATGCTTCAAACTGTTTTTTTTTTTTTTTTTTTTCGATTTTTATATAACTTTTTAATTGTATGTAAACAGTAGTCATAAACACACTTGTTTGTAGTTTGACCGTCTGTTATTTCTAGCCATTTCTTCATATACGTATAGGCAAACCAAAAGTCCTTAAAAAAATAGCAGAATAATAAAAAAACAGCTTACTTCCGCATTGCAGAATAAGGTCAATACTATAAATGCTCATTCAATACTATAAAGCACAAATCTTTTTCATCAGTGCAATCACATGCATAATTTAAAAGGGGCAAATAAGATCAGTTTTAAAATCACGCTTCCTGTGCCAGCCAAGCATCTGCCATTAGAAGATCAGGAACGCTAACAGATGGCTTTCTCCCGATATTATCGACCACCTTTGGCTCAAGCTACAAACAGCTTCATCGTCACCATGGTACAGATAACCACAGAGTGCGTTCTCCGCATATGAGGAATAAATTGGTCATTACTGTCACGGCTTGATAATTATGCTGTGACCTCTTTTGACACAGCTGTTTTGGCAGGCTCTCATACGAAGAGAGACCACAGAAAGTGTTCTAATGAGAATCAGCCTGTCAGACAAACAGGCTTATAATCGCATGCTGCTCCTCCATGCCAGCGATCGCATAATTCTGATTAGAGCCACGCCATGTGAAGGCTGCCGATAAACCCAAATCCTTCTTGAAGAAAAGGTGGTTAGCTGTAAGGATCTGCCAGAAACAATCTGCACACTTGAATGGTGAAGCTGTCTGAAAAAAAAAAAAAAACTGATTGTTGGGGATGAAGGGAGCTTTGAATAACAGCACACGACAGGCAGAGAAACAGCCACACGCGCGC